ATTATCTCTGACCAAGAATTTACTAAAGAGATGCCAAAAATTGCCATAATTTAAACATTATGTAAATAGGGGTGTAATTTATTCTTTTATAATTCTACTTTTGTTCTAAAGCTAATGAAAGAGAAAGAAAGAACTCAGTTTTGATGCTTTCATCCAAGTTGTTTTTCACTTTTGGGAATTGCCTTAGATAGCAAAAGTAAGAATGCAAAAGGAGTCTGAATGAAGCTCCAATGGGAAAACCCCGGAGGAGATAAATTTGGAGTACAGAGTAATTTCTTTGCTAAACTGCCAACTTCCTTTACAGGGGAAACAGTCTCTTTTGATGTTTTTATAATTTAATTGACCTAACAGTTTTTTAGTGAAAATGTTGTTAAAGTTGCTCTTCTGTGCATTTTAATTTGGAAGTACTGTTTGAATACAGAAAAGTTTTGAGTTGTTGAAAGCAGTCTAAAATTGGATAAGATCACCCAGAAATTCAACTAGACAGCAAGTAACACATTGGAGATACTAGAAGAAAGCTGCTGGAACATGGTGTGTAGAAACATCCTCTGTCCAAAAGCAGTTAAAAATCGTTACAAAATTTTATAGCTGAGAATATCAAACAGATTTGGTATAGCCATTGATACGGATCGAAGCCTCATTCATTTATTATTGAAACGGAAGCATTCAGTAAGCACTGCTCTGGGCTGAGATCACTCAAATAGTGGCAGTGTCTTGCAGGCAGTTATGCATAGTATATATGTAATACCTGGAGATGTGGACTGGATTAGGCTGACTTCTGAACTCAGACAGGCTCTTTGGGAGGGTGGCTTTATAAGATAGAATCCCTGCAATTGTGTTCTGAATTGGACTGAAATAACCTTTTAATATAACCTGCATACCAGAGCACTCCAGAAAGGAAGACGCTGATCAGTAGAAATGGGATTTGTGTATGTTTTACACTTTTACACGTGGATGTCTTTCTATCATGCCAAAAACCAAGTTATGAGAGGATAACACAATAAAATGTGTGTGCAATGTGCTAACTCTAGATCAGGGGTGTCAAACTCGCAATGTCACATGATGTGTTGAGATGTATCACGACTTTTTTGCCATTGCTGGCAATCGGGTGGGCGCGGTTTTGCTATGATATATCCGGCCCGCGCGTGGGCTGGCAGTTTGATACCCCTGCTCTAGATCAACCATATTTCAGATCTGTTGTTGAGATCTCAAAGTTTTCTTTTGCTTTGGAACAAAGTTCTTCTATTTCTTTCATTCTGGAAGAGCTTTTAGGACCTTTGATAAAAGTTCTGGAGTCTTTAAATTCAGTGCAGTATTTTGGGCTGCACAGTAAATCTTCCTCAGAGGATCTTCTCTCTTTATTTCTTCATATTGTATTTTAGGCCTAGGGTTAGAATAGATTAGAGTAGGTACAAATCATGCTTTGGACTCAAGTCTCGAATCCATTTGGGCAGCCTGGAATATTCAGTCAAACTGGATCTTGTGAGGTAATAAAGCAAATTTAATACTGTTTTGTACTAATAATTAGAGGTGTGTGAAATAGGTCAAGCTCTAAACATTTTAAGCTTAAAATACATTTCAGTTTTGTCAGAAGTGTTGCTAAATGGCCCTTGAACAGGGTTAGAACACTTTAGTAAGATGAGGGCAACTCATCTGTGCTCAAAATGTTTCAGATCTGAAAGTTTGTAGTGTGTAGGATGAGATGTAATTACATTTATCCTCATTTGTGGCTTTAACCTTTTTCTTTTTAAGTCCTCTTTGTTTTCTGAATTTGATCTTTTGTTTGGTATTGGTTTTCTTTGCAGGGGAGAAGTGGCTGGGCCCCGTTCCCACATCGTCTAAGCTCTAGTTCTCAGGAGCAGTGAGAAAGGCAACCTGCTAAAATGATAAACCTCCCGTCCTTCCTACTTCTACAAGATGACTGGCATTGGAACTGGCTTAATATAAAAGATCATAGTGATTGTCTTCAAATATCATGCAAGTGTCAAGACTGAAGCTCTCAGAGCAGGGAGCTGTTATATACCCCTTCTTGCAACCACTGAGTACCAGGATCTAGATGGCTCCTAAAGTAACGAATTGTCATGGAAAGGTCCAGGAATTCAGTTCCTGGTAGAATAACATCTGGTTACCTGCGATTGATGATTCCCCCAAAAGATGAAACTGGTCACCTGGTAGTCAGGGTAACTGACAATTTCCATGCATTAGGAGTCTTCAGTATTCAGGATGCTTGTCTGCAAGAATTGTTTTCTCTGTCTTTCACCTCCTAACTCAGCCACCACAGCAATGAGCTATAAAAAGTCTAGTTGAGAAAAGCACCTGTCTGTAAAAACATTGATGGGTTACTTTTCACCATCATTTATATAATACTGCATTTTACATCCTCTCCTTGTTTAGCAGCAGCATTATTCCAGCAACTTTGTCATTAAGGGAAATAGTTTCTAAATAGGTGTATGTGAAAGAGAGAGATGCTGTGAAAATTACTGATTGCTGCCTTCTCATTCAGATGAGGTTTCATGCAACTACGGTAGTATTTCTCTCTCTCCAGCTTGCATTGTTCTTGGGCATGAGAAATTTGCTCATGTATGTATGTGCATTTGGTCAGAAAATGAATTTTTATTATCAGTTATTACTGTTTTATTTGCAAATGGCCACTAACCAAGGTAGTTGCTAACTGAGGAGAGATTGAATATCCCACCTTTTATCTATGAGCACTGATTGACTCATGATGTTCCCTACTTGTTTTCTGTGTTTCGGTGAAGGAATCAGAGGTTGTCATCAAACTGGAAGAGAAACACTGCACTCGAAACACCTATTAATTTGAATGTGTTATGATGTATGTCAGTGGTGTGTTATACATGTTTATGAGTACTAATATAACCATTATATGATCATTTGATTTGAAAGGCCAATTGTGAGGGAGGGAATGTCAATTTTAAGACAAATTCCAGTACTCATACTGATTTATTTCATTTATGTGTTATTGTCATTCAATAAATGATATAAATGATGTCCTTTACATAAATTGACTTGATAGAAACAATTTTTCATTTTCATGATGACATCATTACACAAATGGTATAGATCATTATAGTACAAATGACATAAAATCAGCATAAATTAACTGCAGAATATTTTGAAGTTATGGACTTTTAAGGAGATGCCCCAGATAAAAATTTGGTCAATGACCTCCGAAGTAATCTAAATGAGGTACTTGAATGGTGTCTGCGAAACTAAAGTTTCATTGTAATATGGAAGCTTCTCTTTCAGTTGCTTCTTACATGTTTTTATTGTTTCTTTCTTTCTTGGCCCTGGAAAACCTGTTGTATGAGTAATAACACAAAACCACTAGGTATAACTATCATTTTAAGGCATGTATTAAGCCAGTTATAAAAATCACTGCAGGTGGTATGGGACTTGAGTGCATATAGCTGGGGGCATCTATTGATTGAAAGGCAGAAGTTTATAATATGCAAATTTGCATTTCTGTGGAAGGGCTAAGTTTGAGGAAAGGGGCAAGAGATAGTTTGAGGGATGGGTTGAATGAATTCCCACTTGCTCGTGAAGAGGATTTATGAAAACATCTTGGCTCGTTGCACCATTCAAGGAAGACATTTTAAGTTGGCTGGTGCTATTTGCATATATTGCCTTTATTATTATGGTTTAAGGTACTTTCTCATCATTTTGTCCCACTTCAGACTACAGGTAATCCTTGTTTACTGACTGCCTCTTTTAACAATTGTTTACAATTACAACAGTGATGAAAATTAACTTTACAAATAATCCTTGCATTTGCAACCTTCACATAATCTAAATCAAAGTACAGTTAAGATTGTAAATAAGCCCAATCGGTTTTACGTAGCAACTACTTCACATCCAGGTTGCAGGTTCCAGTTGTGGTCTCTAAACAAGACCTACCGGTATCTGTAAGCCCCTTTCCTTTCTGTAAAAGTCCGCCCATTGATCACATTGCACTAAATGATTATCACAGCATTAGTTTTAAATGGACTAGGGCAGGGTGTCAAACTTGCAATATCACGTGACATGTCACGACATATCGCAACTTTTTTTCCATTGGTGGCAATGGGTTGGACGCGGTTTCGCCATGATGCATCCGGCCTGTGGGCCGGCAGCTTGACACCTCTAAACTAGGGGTTCAGATGGATTTGATTTCAGATTTTGAAATTAATTAAAATAATCCTTTTTTCATGGGAAATGTCTGTATGCTTATATCTAAACAACTAATAAAATGACTTGAAGGTTGGACACCAGAAGGCACTAGAAGGAAATAAATGATGGCTGCAATAAAGGAAATTTGGGGGGAATGGGCTAAAAGTGTAATCTGCTACTACAGAACTTGGAAACTGATATTGATGAAGAGCAATCCACTGAATAAAACTGAAACGAATTGGAATGTGAATTTAAAAATGATAGCCTATGAGAAAAAGATGGAACTAATAGATTTACAAATGAAACTGGAAGATGATTTAATAATTACAAATATTAAACCAGAAGAATGATGTGGATAACCTCTTTTCAATGGATTTTAAAAAAAAGGATTTGTTGGAATTGTCAAAGATTTCATAAGAAGTGACTGAGAATGTGAACAGTGACATGGATAACTTTTCAATGCTGGAATTACAAACGAAATTAGATAAAGATGCCAATAACGAGAGAATTGGTAAAAAACAGAATATGAGAAAGGAGATGTTTGGATTTCACTGGAGGGAACTAAAAAGTGTGGGGAAAAAGAAAAGAAACCACAAAATTGGTTTATTGCTCAAGATTCATATAAATGGGCTGCTATTTTTGGTAAGGTTTAGTGGATTTTTGCTGATTAGGACTGTATGATGATGTTTTAAAAACTTTATTTGAAAATGGGATAGGGGATTTGTTTAACTAGAAAATGAAATGTACAGATAAATGGAAAAGGAGAGATTCAAAAATGTTTATTAATGTATGTTATGTTGTTATTTCTGATAACCTGAATGAACTTTTGTTGTTAAGATGGAGTGGTAAAACCTTAAAGATTTGATTGTAGAGAATGTGTTTGAGGTATGGGATGAAGAAGTGATTGGGTTTTTTTTCATTTGAGAAATAACGGTAAGTTGTTGGGGTTGATTGTACTTGCTGAGGAGGAAGAGATGGTCATTTTTTCCTTTCTTCTGCTCTGTTCATTTCTTAATATATTTTTACTCTATGTCAGGGGTGTCAAACTCAATTTCATTGAGGGCCACATCAGCATTGCGGTTGCCCTCAGCGGGCCGGGTGGGTGTGGCCAGAGTGGGTGCGGCCTACTGGGTAGGTGAGGATGGAGTGGGTGTGGCCTACTGGGTGGTTGTGGCCAGCTCTACACTGTTCGCGTCAAGGGTGTCTGTGGGGGCCTGGGCAGGAGTGGGATAGATCTGAGGGTCTCTGGCAGAAGGGGGTGGGACCAGGGCAAGTACCAAGGCATGGTCCACTGGAGGAGCCTCACTGTTCCTCTCAGGCCATGTGAGGGGAGTGGGCTTATGGAGCTAAGATTGAGTGCGTTTCAGCATAGATGGCCACCACAAAATTGTACATTGGCTCCTGGCTGGCCTGGGCCAGGGCCAAGGCAGCGGGGGCCGTTCCCTCACTGTTTCCAGGATGGCTTCGCACGCCACATGAAACCACTTCGCGGGCCGCATCCGGCCCCCGGGCCTTGTGTTTGACATGTCTGCTCTATGTAGACTGTTTTCAGTTTTATTTGTGTTAATACATAGTTTTAATACAATTATTGCAAAAAGCAAATGTTTTAATGAAATAAAACACAAAATCTTGGAAACTGTCATAGGCACCTGCAGTTCTTATTTGTAAGTAGAGTCTTTTTGAATGTTTAAATCTTTTTCTCTCGCTCAATCTGTTGGTGTTTATGTCTAACATTCTTCCTAATATTTTCAATATTGTTATTGTTATTTATTTAAATTTACTGATTCCCAATTCCAGTTAATTATAGGTCATATACAAAACTACATGATAGAAATAAGTGAATGGTCTTCAAAATTTAATATTGAAAGAGAAATTTAAAATTGAATTTGCTGCAGTGGAAAGCAACTATAACGGATGGGAAACAAGAAAAGATAGTATAAAGGTAGAATGTAAGATAAATACATAGGCAAAAATTAGCTGGGTCTTAGAGTGGGAAAGGAAGAAGACAAGCTATAAAAACATCTGTAAGAGGAAATGGCTAGCCAGGAAAACTTAACTAAACTGAAAAACAGGAAAGAACCCATTGTTCTAAGGGACCCAGAACTCAAAACCAACAATTGAATAGGTCTAATATTTTATATTATTAATGTGCAGGTGATGTATGATTTAGTATGTAGCAGGAAATATATAGGAGGCGGTTGGAAAGAGTGTAACCTCATAGTACCTCAGCCAATGGGGAAAGAGGAGGGATGTGGCGGCCGGGACAGGGCTGTATAAAGAAGGGGATATTTTGGGTTGGAACTTTGGAGAGAACCAAACTTTGATAGCTTCTCTCCCCGCTTATTGCAATAAACAAAACAAAAGGCCTTCATTGTGTCTTGGCTGGTTATTGGTCAGGCGAGCTTGCCTCTGGTAACCAAGTAGTCAGGAGCACATAACATACAGAAAACATAAAAATAGGTAAAAATGTTAAATCAAACAGACAATCCAAACTAAAATAATCTAACATAACAAAATCAACAAAACATGGCCTTCCTCATAAACTTTCAGAGATTATTTTACTTTGCTGTATTTTCAGATATGCTAGCTTGCAAGAGAGCTTGCAACAACTACTGCCATTCTGTGCCTGGAAACAGAGGTGCAAACATTACAGAAAATACGTGAGGGATCTTGGTGTTATATGGTGTTTTTAGAAATTGCTCATAAAAGACGAGTTGTTCATTTTCTATTGTTAAAGTGAAATAACAGGAAACAAATAGAACTCATCTCTTAATGACATTTCATTGCGACTGTGGAATACTAACAATCCTGGATACCTGATGACCAGGAAATAAACTATCCTCAATCTAGTACAATCCAGAAGATACATTACGCATTCCCGTATTTCTCAAATCTAATAGATTGGAACAGCGCGGACATCCGAAGGTGGCGCGTGTGTGTGCAGATACTTTTCCCTTGTTGCACTCAGGCTCCCGTGAGTGTGAAGGGACTGGCGACTTCCTCTGAAGCCAGTTTCTCAACCTTGACAATTTTAAGGCATGTGGACTTCAACTCCCAGAATTCCACAGCCAGCAATGCTGGCTGTGGAATTCTGGGAGTTGAAGTCCACATGTCTTAAAATTGTCAAGGTTGAGAAACACTGAAAGCCACTTGTCGTTGTTATAGTTCTTGCTGCTGCCGCCGCCCACGTGTTGTTTCCCCGCCTTCCTCCGCATCCCAAAAGGCATCGCCGGAGTGAACTCTGGAGGGGGTTGGGTTCTGAAAGCCGCACGTGACAGACGTAAAGCGCGTCTTTGGGGTTGTGTGCTTCCCTTCGCATTGGAGACATGTTGACCCACAGGCTCTCTCTCCTTCGCTTGGCTTTCCGACGGAGCATAGCTTCTGCGCCCCAGAGCTCCGGGGTCAGCAAGAAGAAGGTGGAGTGTTTCTACGATGTCCTGTCCCCCTACTCCGGGATTGGCTTTGAGGTAAGCGCGCTGCAAAAAGCTGTATTAAAGCAAGCCATTCCCTCTTAACTTGTGTCTTTCAAATCAAGCAGTATGTATGTTGCTCGGAAGCCCTAGGGCAGTGTTTCTCAACCTTGACAATTTTAAGGCATGTGGACTTCAACTCCCAGAATTTTGGGAGTTGAAGTCCACATGCCTTAAAATTGTCAAGGTTGAGAAACACTGCCCTAGGGCTTCAGTCCGATTTCTTGCCGTGTTAGCTGCGATTTGGAGTAGGCGAGCAGTAACATTTTTGCAGGGTTTTTTTTAAATATGCGCTTATAACTAAGCGCAGTATTGACTTAGAAGAAGAGTAAATCTGCACTACAAAAGAAACGCGCTTTGATTCCTGTATTGCAGCTTCAGATGACCGGAACTTTCTTGTTTGTCCAGTGCAGGGGTAGTCAACCTTGGCTCTTTTATGACTGGCTCAGGAATTCTGGGAATTGAAGTCTACGAGTCATAAAAGAGCCAAGGTTGACTACCCCTGGTCCAGTGCCACGCTGTTTGCTAATGTGGAGATGCACGACACCAACATTGGATGATGGCCCAAAGGTGTTTTTTACCCTCCCAAAAAAACAACTGGGTTTTCTTGTAGTCTTTCTTGAAGTCCAGTTGCCTTTTTGAAAAAGCACCTTTGGGACAATCATGACCTGGATGATTGAGAATCTCCATAGACGCTGGAGATTTGCAAACGGGGCCTCCTTGCATCTGTATCTCTCAGTACGGAGTGCGCCTCCTCCCTCCTCCTGTCAGCTGGGCTGTCCTTCAGGAGACTTCCCCCAAGCTCTGTTGCCCTTGACAAAAGTTTGCAATTTCTGGATAATGTTCAGTATGCTGTAAAATTCTCATCTGGAAATACTCCTGGCTAGAAAAAAGGGGAAAGGAGCAGAGGGAAACGTTTTTTTCAGAAGAGTTGTCAGCAATTATCACAAAGTTTCTAGGACTTTCTTGGTTTCAACTTTGACCCACTTTTTCTGTGGCTGCTGAAAACATTGCAACATTTGTCAGGTCTGTTGGGACTCCAGTGCAACTAAGCTGTGTATCAATAGATAAGTCACATAAATCTGACTCTAATTTGAATTACTGGAGGTTGGAACTATTTGTGAATATGGGGTATGTTGGATGAAAGCAAATCCTGATATATATGAATATTTCAAAATATTCTTGTTGAGCAGGAAGTGGATCATCCAGTTCACTTGCGCATATCACATATGGATTCATTATATACACTAGGCGGGTATATTTGGTCTGCAAGAATCCAAGTCTAGATGTTTAGGGGTTTCTGCACCTTTTTGCTTCCATCTAGTGGTGATCCCTATTTCTGCAGTCCCTATATGGGGATACTTGAAGTGCAGCACCTTAATGTGAAATTTGGTGAGACATGATGTCAATATGAATATTAAAAAGCAGATTGATCTATTTCATAGGTCATAGTGGTCAAGAGTATTGTGCTGTGTACAGTATTCCAATCTTGTATATGATTACACAATATGGTTTCCACTACCAGGATATCCATAAATCTAATGTATTACTTGCTAACTTTATCCATTTCACCTGGGGAATATATTAAAATGAGTTTAATATGACTGCTTGCATTTCTCAGTGCAATTGTAATTCCTGCTGTGGAAGAGCTGGTTTGCAACTAAACCAAATGGGTAATTTTGTTTATTAGGAAAAGAAAGCCATGTTTACTGTGGTGTTATTGTTTCTTTATCTTGCTAATATAGATTCTTTAATTCTGTTTTTTTCCCTGTCAAGAATGTTTAATATTTTGGGTGGTTTGATGTCAGTGAGCTATGCTGCATAGTATTACTTAAAGCTTCAAAGTACTTTATTCCCATTTCAAATTACAGTTAAAGAGAGTCCTCGACTTAAGATCGGTTGCTTAATGACCATTCAAAGTTATGACAGATACCACCACCCCAGCTACTAAAATAAAGATGGGATTTAAAAAAAATAGCCACAGTTTGTATTTAATTCCTTTTACTGGATTTATATCCTAATAAACGTACACCTGATTTTCAACGAACATATTATGACCTTCTACGATAATGTAGGCTACGAAGGTGCAAGCCAAATGATAAACGTGTTTTCCTCTTAGCTGCATGTGGAGCCATTGTGGTATAATGGTTAAAAGCACTGGACTGGGGCAGGGAAGCCCAGTTTCTAGTCCACCCAAGCTATGGAAATTCTGAGTGACTTTGGGCTAGTCCTTTCCTCTCAGATCAACCTACCTCACAGAACTATTGTGGGGGAAAATAGGAGGAAAGAGTGCTGTATATGCCTCTCTATGCTCCTGAAAAATGGAATATATATATATAAAATATATTTGTGATGGCTCCCTTTTCCTATGGCAGGAGCACACCAATTCTTTTAACCTCTAATCTTACAGATGTAGCTTGACATTTTTTAGTTCTTAATATAGAGAGTCCTCGATTTTACATTTGTTTAGTGATCGTTCGAAATGACAACAGCACTAAAAATAGTGACTTATGACAGTTTTTCTCACCTATGACCATTGTTGCATCCCCATGGTCACATGATCAAAATTCAACCACTTGGCAATTGGCTCATATTTATGATGGGTGCAGTGTCCTGGTGTCATGGGGTCACTTTTTGCGACCTTCTGACAAGCAAAAATCAATGGGAAAGCCAGATTCACTTCATAACCGTATTGCTAACATAACAACTGCACTGATTCATTTAACGACCGTGGCAAGAAAGGTCATAGAATGTGGCAAAACTCACTTAAATGTCTCACTTAGCAATGGAAATTGGGGGCTCAATTGTGATCATAAGTCGAGGACCACTGTAATAATAACCCCTTTCATCTCTGTAGATTATTTGCAGGTATCGTTCCCTCTGGAATCTAGATCTGCACTTGCGGCCAGTTTTCTTTATGGGGATATTGAAGGCAATTGGTAAGCCCTTAATTGTTCAGCTAAGCTTAGATGAAGATTAGACACACTCCTGTAGCAACTAGTTACAAAAGTGGAGTTACAAAACTCTAGATCAAAGAGATTTCTCGTGTGTGTGTATCTAAAATTATTTTAAAAATGTGAGTCCCGGGTATATTCATAGTTCTTAATAAAATTTTTAGTCTCGGAGATCAAAGTTTTTAGTAGTTTTTTCTTATATATATAAGAAAATCTCTGTTATTTTGTATTCTGTGTATGTGTTGGGTATAAGTTGCTTTTTAAAATTTCCCTTAACATCTTCATTGGAACCTTCAAGCTTTCTAAAATATTAATATCGTGGTCTATTTTTGAAGAACTCTTCAAGTGACTCAAAACCTATATTGGATTGGCCATTTTAAACCTTAGTTTAACACTGATAAATGCACTTCCCCCTTTTTTTTTATGCCTGGTCCTTTAGTCCCCTCTAGTGTTTATTTGCAACATTCAAAGAATCTCAGTTCCTAATATGGATTTAATTCTGTTCTTACTAATGTATTATTTAATTATATGTGTTTTTTTTCAAACTGTAAATGTTCCAAATTCCTTCCTTCTTTCCTTCCTTCCTTCCATCCATCCATCCATCCATCCTTCTTTCCTCTGGCTTTCTAGTCTGTTGATAACTTTCTTAATTTTTTTTCCCTTTTTGTCAATATATTGTTTTTAAATTCTTAAAATCTCTATTTAAAAATCCTTATATCAAAAAAAAAAAGTAGAACTCACCAGGAGTCAAATTAAACTTGTCATTTTTGAGGGTCTCTGGAATCCATGAGATCCTTAAATTGATCATTTAGAAATTAGAAATTAATAATTAGAAATGAGTGCAGATGTATTATTTTCCTTTTTAAAGGCTTTGCTGGGTTGAGAGCAAGATCACAGCTGATGCTCAATCCGATTGGGAATTGCTGCTGTCTAGTATGATTTGTTCATAGTTAACTGTGGACTTGGCTATTCTGTAACAACGAATTTTGTTTGAATTTCTTAAAAGTTAAAAAAAATATATAATTTCATCTCTCTGCTAAAATTAAGTCTGCAGTGTATTCAGGTTTCCATAATCCTGTCCAAACCTAGAATATTAGCTTCCCATACTTCATTGGATGGGAAATAAAACACAAAAAACAAAAGTAGAGATTTACTATTGAAATTACATTTTGTGAATTGCTGTCTTTTGCAACAGGGAGCCAGCCTCCAGCAATGCTTCCCAAGAAAGGAGACTATATACTAAAGGATGCCATTCGAATGGGAAAGTATTGCCAAGTGCCAATAAATTTACCAAAGGATTTCGTAAACTCTGTGGTAGTGAAAGGTAATGAAAGAGATTGTTTTCTCCAAATTGGTGCCAGTTAGGCATTTGGGAAATGATGGTTTCTGCCCATGTGGTAGAAAACTAATCAAGGAGAGAAGCAACCTAGAACTAAGCAGAAACTTCCTGACAGTTAGAACAATTAACCAATGGAACAACTTTCCTCCAGAAGTGGTGAACACTCCAACACTGGAAGTTTTTAAGAAGAGACTGGACAGCCATTTGTCTGAAATGGTATAGGGTTTCCTGCCTGAGCAGGGGGTTGGACTAGATGACCTCCCAGGTCCCTTCTAACTTTATTATTATTATTATTATTATTATTATTATTATTATTATTATTATTATTATTATTATTATTATTATTATTATTATTATTATTATTATTATTATTATTATTATTATATCAGGAAGTGAAAAGTCAAAAATGTCCTTTTAAAAGTAAGGGTGGGTTTGTCCCCCCTCCCATCAGCATTTATACAGCTTCTCTAGTGCACTTTTGTGTCTGTCTCTGCTGCCTACAGGAAGTCTGCCTGCCATGCGTTTTATCACTGCTGTGGATATAGTAGAACCTCAGTTTCTGGAGCCTGTTTCTAGAGAACTCTGGATGCGCCTTTGGTCCAGGGTAAATATTGAGCTCTTGCACACATATGCATCTCTCTTGGCATTTCTGGGGACCTCCAGAAATTTATTCTTTAAGACCCATTTAAATGAATAGAGCAGTCTGAAATTTCAGCTATATCTAATTTTTCTCTTCATTCTCTCCCTTCTGTTTTGGGTAGATTAAATTGGGGGAATTGGACCTATTTTAATCTTATTTCATTAGACAAAGAAATCAGGCCAACAAAGGCAATTGTTGTCCATCATGATTTTGGTTTACTTTTATTTTCTTATCTCACTATTTCCATGACCCACCCTATCCATAAGGTTTAATAATCAGTTGCCATATTTTTTGTTTTTCCAGGATGAAGACATAGTTCAGCCAGAAAGTATATTAGCAGTAAGTACAAGCTCCTCTTCTCTTGCTCTTCTCCTGCAGGTGGTTCAGATGCAAAAGGGCAGGTTTGTGCTGCTGGCTGGATAATTTTGAAAGAAATTTTAATTGGGGAGTGTTTACATGCCTTCCCTTCCCACTCTGCTCTCCTGAGTATGGAACTCTTGTACTCTAGAATTTCCTTTGGGAGCAGTATTGCTGTCAGTGAAGACTATCCATGCATGAGCGACCTTGTGTGGCTTCGTTGTCTCCCTCAGTTATTAATTCTTTGAAGGGTGTAGAAGTGTTTAATTCTTTTAACATTGGCAAATCGGGAGAAAATAAGTTTGTCAATAGCGTTATCACTAGGTCTGGTGCATGGAAATGCAGTTTTCCTAGGTCTAAGGTTATCTAAAAAGAATTAAATATGATCTATGGCTTATTTTTCTAAAGTATTGTGTATTATTTAATTTATATGGGGGAAGATCTCAAGGTCAATAAATACTCTGCATGTTGAGTGTCTCAGGTTCATTCCTATAATCTTTAGGCAGAAAACTTTCAGCCTAACACTCTGGAGACCCCCAGAGAGAAGAGGAAAATTCTAGCTAAATGGACTAATCTTTGAACAACAGTTACAAAGAAAAATAAAAAATAAAATCCGGAATCTGGTAGTACTTTTACGACTAACCATTTTTAAGAAAGGGCCTCAGCTTTCATATGCATTCCATGTATCATAAATTGCAGCTGACAAAAACTTAGGCTTTTTCATAACATTTGTTGCTCAGAAAAGTTGCTATCAGACTCCTTGTGATTGTGAACTACTATAGATTGTCATCTTATTGTTGGAATAAAGAAAGAGAACATTGAAAACAAGGAATGCCTTGTTTATAGAGGTTTTAAGTATTTTAGTAGTTAAGGATAGAAATTACGTGATTACCAGGAAACTGAAAAGATATTGAACAATTCCAGTTGGATCATAGTTTAGTATGTTCACTCTTTGCTAGGGCCATTTGCTTTCCAGTTCAATTATGAACAAGAGGTAATTTTGTAAACCTCTTTGTTTCCTTTATAGTATGTCAGGTAGTTTATATGTATCTCAGTGTGGAAAGCTGAGGTTTTAATGCAGTCAACCTGGGCTACATCTTTAGGATATTTGTCTTTTTTGTCAGGTTGCAGAGAAAACAGGTTTGCCCTCAAGCAAAAGCCAGGAGCTTCTGAAAATGAGCACTTCACCTGAGGTGAAGAATCGCCTGAAAGAGACAACAGATGAGGCTCTGAAACTTGGGGTAAGGGGCAATGTTTTATGAAATACACTTTCCAATCTGAAGCTGAAGCTCAAATACTTTGGCCACCTAATGAGAAGAGAGGATTCATTGGAAAAGACCCTGATGTTGTGAAAGATTGAAGGCAAAAGGATGAGGATGGTAGAAGATGAGATGGTTAGATAGCGTTGACTCAATGGACATGAATTTGGGCAAACTCTGGGAGGCAGCGGAGGACGGGGGGACCTGAGAGGGGTCTATGGGGTCGCAAAGAATCAGAGATGACTTAACGACTGAACAACAACAAATCTTCCAGGCAGTCTGTTTTAAAAAGATGTGGGATCTTGGGAAGCTAAATTCTTATGCTCTGAAGAGCAACTTTGTTGGATAATGAAATCACTTTAGAAGACTTGTATCCCGAGAGCCTTCTGGCTTGTTTTTCTACATTTTTGTAGGTATTGTCCAGAGCTAGCATTGAACTATTGCTTCCAGATTCATGAATAGCAGGGCAGATGGGCAACTTCATTATTGTTATTAGTTGTGAAGCCGTGTCCGACCCATCGCAATCCCATGGACAACGTTCCTCCAGGCCTTCCTGTCCTCTACCATCTTCTGGAGTTCATTTAAGCTCATAGTAATATAACAATAGCAGTATTAAGGTGACTGTCTGTTATTTCCCATTGTGTTATTTCCCAAAACTGTTCCATGCACAGTTGATGATGACATTTGAACTGACGTGAAATAATGCATAAATTCTGTTTTATGACGACTGATATATACTTGTGTACAACATTACTGCAGTGAAAAGCAAGTGAGCATAAGCCATATTTGGGCTAATGGGATATAAGGTTTCCTTGGCACAATCACACAGGTGCTTCTTAATCTCACTTAAGCTTTATAGTTTAAGCTAAAATGCGTCAGCACCTACAGAAGTACAGAGAGTTGGGAAATACTATTCAGAACTGTGAAAAACAGTGATACTCAGAACAGTCAAAAAGCTGACAAAAGGCAAAAACTTCCTAAAGTTGGGAGATTTTGTAAAGCATGACAGTTGATCTATCTTTCCTTTTACGGCTTTTGATCTGTTTTCTCCTCATCCAGGCAAATAGGTGAATTTTGATGGTATTTGAACACGTTTCCCTACAAAATAGCATTGGTGTGCAGGCACAGGACAATTGGACCCATTTCCCAGTTCTTCGATGGATGGGTGGAATCAATAATGTGCAATTTTTAAAAAAACTTTAAAAACTGTCCTTGGGAAATGCCAATTAAATATGTAACCACCTAATACAGAAGCTAATTGACACATTTGAACTCTTCTGGTTTGCATCTGTTACCATGAATTAGTTAGATGAAGCAGAATTCTCTATTTATATCTTGTGTTGGTTTTTGCAATAGGCATTTGGAGTGCCATCTTTTATTATTGAGACTGATGGAAAACCCCAGCTTTTCTTTGGTTCAGATCGTATTGAAGTACTGGGAAATGCTTTGGGTGAGTGTTATTAATATTTTTGTTGAGAATTATTGAGTTTTCTTTAGGTTCCACAATGGACCAACACATTACAAAAGAGGATTTTGTTTGCTTGTAGCTTCCATAAAGAAATGGAAAAAAGAAAAAGAAAAACCTTGAATGTCCTAGGTTTTGGGGAAAATATTTTGCTGCTATTAATATTTAACAATATGGAAGTTGTTTGCCATTGCCTTCTGGTCAATTTTAAACCTGAACTATTTTTATTAGGTATATTATCAGGAAAATATGATAAAGAAAGTGTGTATTTAATGTTGCATGTATTAAGAGCAGCAAGAATAGTATTTGCTCATACTGGAAAAATGAAACACCATCTGAAGAGGAGATAATCAAGAAAATACTAGACTGTGCAGAAATGGATAGACTTACACTGAAGATTAAAGAAAAAGAAGACACAGAATATTTTCAAATATGGGATGTATTTTATCAATGGCTGAAAAAAACGGGTAGAGATTAGGAATTTAATGTGTATTATTAAGTAAAACAAATGGACCCAGACAACACGTTGTTTACTAAGCACTCATGAATTGTAAATGTAGAAAACTAATAAAATATTATTTTTTAAAAAAACAGCTCGGTATTATCCTACTCTATTTCTGAGGACCTTAGAAGGCATATACAGGTAGTCCTCAACTTACAATAGCTCATTTAATGACCATTCAAAGTTACAACAACATTGAAAAAAATGACTTATGACCATTTTTCAACACAACCCTTGCAGCAGCCTGTTGGTCATGTGATCAAAAATCAGAAGCTTAGCATCTGACTCATATTTATGACATTTCCAGTGTCCCAGGGTCACTTGTTCACCTTTTGTGACCTTCTGATAAGCAAAGTCATAAAAAGCCAATTCATTTAACAACTGTGGCAAGAAAAGTCATAAAATGGGGCAAACCCCACTTAACAACTGTCTTGCTTAGCAATACAAATTTTGGGCTGAATTGTGGTCATAAGTCAAGGACTGCCTGTATAAGTGTTGTGTTTACAGAATACTAGAGAGAAAGAAGAGAGAAATATTATCTCTGACCAAGAATTTACTAAAGAGATGCCAAAAATTGCCATAATTTAAACATTATGTAAATAGGGGTGTAATTTATTATTTTATAATTCTGCCTTTGTTCTAAAGCTCATGAAAGAGAAAGAAAGAACTCAGTTTTTTCCTGACTATTGATGCTTTGATCCAAGTTGCTTTTCATTTTTGGGAATTGCTTTAGATAGCAAAAGTAAGATAGCAAAAGGATTCTGAATGAAGCTCCAATGGAAAAAAACTAGAGCAAATAAATTTGAAATACAGAGCAATTTCTTTGCTAAACTCCCAACTTCCTTTACAGGCAAAACAGCCTATTTTGATGTTTTTATAATTTAATTGACCTAATAGGAAGACATCAATCTATTTAAATGGGATTTGTGTATGTTTTACACTTTTACACATGGATGTCTTTCTGTCCTGCCAAAAATCAAGGTATGAGAGGATAACACAAGTAGTAAAATGTGTGTGCAATGTGCTAACTATAGATCAACCATATTTCAGATCTTTCATTGAGATCTCAAAGCTTTCTTTTGCTTTGGAACAAAGTTCTATTTCTTTAATTCTGGAACAGTTTTCAGGACCTTTGATAAAAGTTCTGGGGTCTGAAATTCAGTGCAGTATTTTGGGCTGCACAGTAAATCTTTCTCAGAGGATCTTCTCTATTTCTTTATACTGTATTTTAGGCCTAGGGTTAGAATAGATTAGAATAGGTACAGATCATGCTTTGGACTTAAGTCTTGAATCCCGTTGGGCAGCCTGGATTATTGAGTAAAACTGGAACTTGTGAAGTAATTAAGCAAATTTAATACTGTTTTGTACTAATAATTAGAGGTTTGTGAAATAGGTCAAGCTCTAAACATTTTAAGCTTAAAATACATTTCAGTTTTGCCAGAAGTGTTGTTAAATGGCCCTTGAACAGGATTAGAACACTTTAGTAAGATGAGGGCAACTCTTCTGTGCTCAAAATGTTTCAGATCTGAAAGTTTGTAGTGTGTAGGATGAGATCTAATTACATTTATCCTCATTTATGGCTTTAACCTTTTTCTTTTTAAGTCCTCTTTTGTTTTCTGAATTTGATCTTTTGTTTGGTATTGGTTTTCTTTCCAGGGGAGAAGTGGCTGGGCCCTGTTCCCACATCGTCTAAGCTCTAGTTCTCAGGAGCAGTGAGAAAGGCAACCTGCTAAAATTATAAACCTCCTGTCCTTCCTACTTCTACAAGATGACTGGCATTGGAACTGGCTTAATATAAAAGATCATAATGATTGTGTCAGAACCCATATATTATTAAAGAGGACTCTTCTATTTCTATTTCTTCCATTACTCTGGGTCCTGCCATACTCCTGAAGGGGAGGGGGGGAAGACGTTGCAGACTGTCTCTTTGTTTCTTTCTATCGCTACAATGTATACCTTACCCTATTCTGCATATTTGCTCTTTGAACTATTTCTCCTTTGATGTTACCTTGGGGTGAGAAACGAATGTGCCTTCGGCCATCTGGCTTATCTCCTGTTTCGGAAGGGAAGGCGCGAAGACCCAACAACCTCGCTGGGAGTCTGGGAAAGACTGATGTTATCTGCTCCTTTCCCACAATGGACTTAACACATGAGGATTGGCCAGTTCAAACTGACTGGATGAACTATTGGGGTGGGGTTTGCTTGGGATTCTTTTAACCTATTGATCTGAGTGGGAAACCCTCAGATCCTGCTTATTATGCCTACTATCAGCTTCTCCTAATAAAAGTTCCCTTTGGAAGAAACTGCTTCCACAAGTCCTGCTTTCTTAGGATGAGGTTTTGAAGTGGGCCCTGAGAGATTGTCTTCAAATATCATGCAAGTGTCAAGATAGAAGCTCTCAGAGCAGGGAGCTGTTATATACCCCTTCTTGCAACCACTGAGTACCAGGATCTAGATGACTCCTAAAGTAACAAATTGTCATGGAAAGGTCCAGGAGTTCAGTTCCTGGTAGAATAACATCTGGTTACCTGCGATTGATGATTCCCTCAAAAGATGAAACTGGTCACCTGGTAGTCAGGGTAACTGACAATTTCCATGCATTAGTAGTCTTCAGTATTCAGGATGCTTGTCTGCAAGAATTGTTTTCTCTGTCTTTCACCCCCTAATTCAGCCACTATAGCAATGAGCTATAAAAAGTCTAGTTGAGAAAAGCACCTGTCTGTAAAAACATTGGTGGGTTACTTTTCACCATCATTTATATAATACTGCATTTTACATCCTCTCCTTGTTTAGCAGCAGCATTATTCCAGCAACTTTGTCATTAAGGGAAATAGTTTCTAAATAGATGTATGAAAGAGACGTGAAAATTACTGATTGCTGCCTTCTCATTCAGATGAGGTTTCATGCAAGTACGGTAGTATTACTCTCACTCCAGCTTGCATTATTCTTGGGCATGAGAAATTTGCTCATGTATGTATGTGCATTTGGTCAGAAAATGAATTATTATTACCAGTTATTACCGTTTTATTTGCAAACAGCCACCAACCAAGGTAGTTGCTAACTGAGGAGTGATTGAATATCCCATCTTGTATGATGTTCCCTACTTGTTTTCTGTGTTTCAGTGAAGGAATCAGGTTGTCATCAAACTGGAACAGAAATACTTCACTGGAAACACCCATTAATTTGAATGTGTTATGTATGTCAGTAGTGTGTTATACATGTTTATGAGTACTAATATAACCATTATATGATCATTTGATTTGAAAGGCCAGTTGTGAGGGAGGGAATGTCCATTATAAGACAAATTCCAGTACTCATACTGATTTATTTCATTTATGTGTTGTTGTCATTCAATAAGTGATATAAATTGACTTGATAGAAACAATTTTTCATTTTCATGATGACATCATTACACAAATGGTATAGATCACTATAGTACAAACTACATAAAATTAGCATAAATTAACTGCAGAATATTTTGAAGCTATGGACTTTTAAGGAGATGCCCCAGATAGAAATTTGATCAATGACCTCCGAAGTAATCTGAATAAGGTACTTGAATGGTGTCTGCGAAACTAAAGTTTCATTGTAATATGGAAGCTTCTCTTTCAGTTGCTTCTTACATGTTTTTATTGTTTGTTTCTTTCTTGGCCCCGGAAAACCTGTTGTATGAGTAATAACACAAAACCACTAGGTATGATTCATTTTAAGGCATGTATTAAGCCAGTTATAAAAATCACTGCAGGTGGTGTGGGACTTGAGTGCATATAGCTGGGGGCATCTTAGCTTGTAAACATGTTTTAGTTGGCTACTGAATAAACTCATTTTCCAAGTCAAGACAATTCATTCAATCATAAGCTAATCAAATTGGCTGGAGTTCTATATCACACACAAGCTATAGAAAAGCTAAGCAGAATTAACATGCCAGTTCAGCCTTTAAGTACAATGCAAACTTTTGTTTATTAGATAACCTTTATTGTCATTTTTTTTACTGTGGGCACAATGGCACACATCAAAAATGAAATTTAGTTGCCCGCTCTCAAAGTGAAACACATACATGACACACACCTAAACATACTATGAACAACATACGTATAGACCCACACCCCTACATATATGTAGCAAATAAATACTGTCCATCTTGAATATATAACGGAAGGAGGAAGTTTGAGAGTTCGCAAGGTTAATGCTGTATGGAATGAAACTATGGCTGAATTTGGATGTTCTGCTACGGATACCACAAAGCCTCCTTCCAGAAGGTAACAAGGAAAACAGGTCGTGAAGAAGATGTGTAGTGTCCCAGATAATCTTACGGACCCTGCTCAAGCAATGCTTCTGTGCTATGTCCTGGGAGGGAGGAACTGCCAATGGTCTTTTTGGCCATCCTCACCACTCTCTACACCGCCTTCCTGTCTGAAGCAGTGATACTACCAAATCAGACTGTGATACTGTATGACAGGATTACATCTTTAAAGTTAGAGATCTTCAAGGCTGCAGATGAATTGTACGTTATGAGTTGCTTTGGGGCAATTGGGGGCCATTGCAAATATGTTGGAATGCTTTACCAGATAACAGGATGAGACATTTTGTCTGTAAAATCCTCCTTGTGCCCCTGGTAATTATATTACTTATATTTACTGCTAAGGATAGCTCCCTTAGCTTTTTTTTTCTAGTCCCAAATTGCAGGACTCCTAGATCATACAAAAGAGATGCAGTGGCACAGTGACTTAAAAGACTCTGGAGTAGGTCTGTAGTCCGGCAGTTTGAACCCTACCCCTGTCACTTGCCTCAGCTACCTCCAATCTAGCAATTCAAAAGCATGTAAATGCAAGTATATAAATAGGTACCACTTTGGTGCGAAGGTAACAGTGCTCATTTCACCACATGCTCTGTGCTGCGTGATGTCATGCGGTGATTACCGTGGAAATGTCTTTGGACAGTATTGGCTCAGTGGTCTAGAAACTGAGATGAGCGCCACCCCCTAAAGTCGGCTACTGCTAGCAGAGTAAAACCCACAGGGACTCATCTTTATCTTTTTCATATCTTACAAAGCTCTCTGTGCAAACTGCTAAGCCATGAAAGCAGAGGGACAGATTGGCAGCACATAAGTCTACAGGCCTGTAAGGGACCTTGTGTGTTTAAACAGCAGAGTGAGGCCATTTATGAAGGACAGTTTAAGAAACACGGTTATTTCTTGGGCACAACCAAATATTTGTTTAAATTTGAACATCATTTATAAAATACTAGAAATGTTAAAAGTTGGTAAAGAGTGGCATGATAGAAATTTGTTAAAATGTCTGAACAAATTGAGATACCGGTAATTGTATTAATAAAGCAGGAAAGAACATTAAATTAGTAAGACATACTTCTAATCTTTTGTGGTTGCTTTAGCTTCAAGGTCTATTTAAGTAAATGTCTTTTCTCAGGCATTTTAAGCTGGCTGGTGCTATTTTGTATATATTGCCTTTATTATTATGGTTTAAGGTACTTTCTCATCATTTTGTCCCACTTCAGACTACAGATAATCCTTGTTTACTGACTGCCTCTTTTAACAATTGTTTACAATTACAACAGTGATGAAAAAGTAACTTTACAAATAATCCTTGCATTTACATATCTGTAAAGCAAAGGAAAGCTAAAGTAAGATCATAAATAAGCCGAATTGGTTTTACTTAGCAACGAGTTCACTTCCAGGTTGCGGGTCCCAATTGTGGTCTCTGAACAAGAACTATGTGTAAGCCCCTTTCCTCTGTGAAAAATTCCACATTGCTCTAAATGTCTCTGTTCATGCTTCACTGCTTTTTGCCAAATGCAGTAATTGAGCAGTAAAGAATAATATTGTAAAATAAATGATTACATGGGAAATGGAGTTGGAAAGGAGCAATTTCCACTAATAGATACCAAGTATCCCTCCAGAACATAAGGCAAATTGAAGCGACTTGTATAATTTGTTGTCAGGGATTCGTTTTAATTCGGTATCCTGCCTGGAGGATACATGAGACAAGTGACATTTTCAGTGATGTCATTACGTCACTAGAATAACTAAGATCAAAATGTTTCTTAATTGGGGGGAGGTGAGGTTAACGAGAGTTAAAGTGTAAAGAACCATTTTGCCCCTAATCCATCCCAATGGAAAAATTAAAATTTGCAACATAAAATAGACAAGATGTCAAAGGTATCTTATGGTTTACAGATTGCCAGCCATGGTCTGTACAGGAGGCACTGACATTTTCGTAGCTTGAACCCTAATTTATAGGCAGAAGATAGAGAAATTGGTAGCAAATGCTTTTAGTTTAATGTCAGTTGGTAATCTGCCACAAGTCTGTTCCCATTTGTATTTAAGAGTTTTCACCAAGGCATTATTTGGTGGAATACATTGCTACTAGGGCTGATGAACTCCCATAATTAAACATTTTAGGTGAAATGTTGAAGTGTTGACTAAGCTACAGATCATTATGATTCTAGGCCTCCTCCTTTCAATATGGTGAAACCTTAGATGTTTGTTAGCTTTAAACAAAAAAACAACAACCCTCAGGAGTGAATTGGTCACAGTAGTCTTTTATTGCAAGCCCAAGACACCACAGACACAAAAAGCATTGGACAAGGAGTCATAGATTCACATTTACAGGTTTTGGTTCTTGATGGCACAAAGACTCAGGAAAGAGGGTGGCAGTGGTACAGTGAAATATTTAACAGATCTGAGGAATCTGATGAATAATGAAACAAATACTCTTTAACTGTCACACACACACATGCTCTTTGGCACTATGTGTCCTGCCCATGCTGCATAATGCAGCTCTGATGTTTTATGAACCAGGCATAATCCTGGGAGCACTAAGATATATATTCCTCTTACGTTTTTGAGGCCTTCATGCT